TGTGTGTATATATATATATATATATATGTCTTGATCGGGAACAACTGCAGCAGTTGGACGCTTTCTTCACATACATTACATTTGACAAATTTTCTCCCTGGCAAAATCGAGCGGTAAATTGGGAAATTTTTTACAAACTACTTATTCGTTTCATATTTCACACACTGTCTTTGCTACCCTGACGGGTAAGGACAATGAAAGTAGCCAGACTTATGGACCGAAACATTCCTATTCAGTTTTTTAATTCGATTTATCTAATTCACCTTCCTTTTATTCCTTTCTTTTTAACCCTTATTTTTTGCACAAACATACATCATCCAAAATTAAAATTACTATTATAGTACACTGCCAAATAGCAACTACCTGCTTGCCAGACAACAGACGGCTTCCACAATCAAAAGTTACTGGTTTCAGCTAACTTTACTATTACTTTTAATAGAAGGGTATTTTGAAATAAGGAGGAGGATCGGAGAGGAAATTCCAAAATAAGAAATTATTGAAATTACTTTACGAAAAATTATTGAATGTTTCGGTCCAGTAAGTTGTTATAATCTATCGTAATGAGTACAAATTGCCATAATCTATTCTAATGAGTGAATGATCAATTCATCACCGAAACAAATCCTAACAAAATTCGATTTCTGCACCGACGAAGCATAGCAAACATCGACTGGAAGCAGAGGATGATACTACCCCATCCGACTGCAGTAGTTTTGATCCTTCGACCGAGCATAAATCGGGGAATGAACTTGCGCACACGTGTGGTCATCATGCAGGCACTAGGCGGTAAAATGCGCGAATCAGAAAAGGCACGCGGCTCACCTTTGCTTTCGGCGCTGATACCCCAACCGTGGATGACCACCAGGCATACCCGATTCTTCACTTTCCCGTTGTTCGCCATTTGCGGCAGCAACAGACAGAGAGAGATTCTGCAAAATCGGCGAAAAACATTACTATTTAATTTATATGGTAACTATTAGATTGTAAGCAATCAACAGAACAGAACAAAGGAACGCTGAATTGGAATATTTCGGTTCATTGAATCGTGTACAATAACTATAAGCGGATCCAGCACGGACTCCTAGGGGCGGGGGTGACCAACGGCGAACAGGGAGAAGAGTGCGCTCCCATCCTGGAGCTGTGCAAAAACTAGGAATAGAGTTGTAACAACTGCTACTTCGAGTTACTTTAGGTTTTAGTTTAGTTTTACTTTAGTTTTAACATTTTACATAAACACACATCATCTAAAATTAAAATTACAATTTAGTTTTAGCTTTAGACCCGGACTTTTGCAGCACTGCTGCCTGTGCCGCTGGGACGGAGAGGAAGGGAGACGGGGCAAGAGGGTGGAGGGGGGGGGGGAG